TACTGAAACACGACATCGCGATGTACAATGAAAGTATCGCACTTTTCTCCGGTGGCGGTAGTAACCCGCAACGGTGGAGAAAGCACAAAAATAGGCAACTCAAACCCCATAATAATCGAGGTTCCGATGAAAGAATGCGTAGCCCCAGAGTCAAATAATACATCTACGACACAACTACCAATAGAAACTGTACCTCTCATAAGATTCGGATCTCTGTTTGACTCTTGCCGATCCAAGGTATAAACTTGGCCAGTGGCTGGTGGCACCACAGGTGCCGCTGTAGGTGGAGTAGGAATCATCTGCAAAGGAACCGCCTGAACTGCTGCAGCTCTAACAGCCGATGAAGGAAAATCTCTGGCATAGTGGCCCTCCTTGCCACAATGGAAACAAATGATCTGACCGGTGGCACACGACCCAACATGTGATCTACCACATCCTGTACACCTGGGAGTACTGGGAGGTCTAGCTGCACTCCCCTGAGTCGAAGTCCTCTTAAACTGATTTGGCGCCTGCCTAGCAGATAACTTCTTCCCTTTACCTTTTCTCCAAACTTCCTGTCTCTCCAAGAAGTGGAGCTACCAGCTCCCTTCAGCTTAGATACTTTGGCCTTTTTGACCTTGCTGACCACACATACGTCCTCAATATCATGGCACTGCTGAACCAAGGTGCCAAAGTCTCGGGATACCACTCCCGCTATCCTGTCTGCTATCTTCTCACTAAGCCCCCTCCGGAACTTAGAAGCCAAGAATGTCGGTGTAGGCATAGCAATCCTAAAGTGTACAAATTTAGCCAGTTCATTGAACTTAGCCAAGTACTCGTTGATGGGACGTAAATTTGTTCCCATCTAAGTCCATTTTGATGGAAAAATACCATACGTTCCCTCATCTGATGAGCAACTTCAGCATGAAAATCACTTGTTTTACACATTTGTGACAAAAACACAGTGGGGGAACGGATGGTAACGTATTCCTTTAAAATATATTAAAAGGGGAACGAACTGAGACGCATTTAATGCACCTGCTCCATTCATTTAATGCTTCTGTACACTTTGCAGGTAACGTAGAGTTAAAGACTTCTAAAAAGCAAGGCGGTGCACCAACTGAGCAGCTGGAAACATGAAGAGTAGAGAATCAAGAGTTCTCATTGGCTGAAAACAGAAGCAAAACATAGGAAGGCCTGCAAACAACGACTAATCAACACCAAATCATGTTCCATTCAGCAATTCATGCAAGCTTCACACTCTGCTACCACAGTCCCGTCCCCTCATTCAAGCAACTAGCTCCAAGGGAATTACAGTCTTGCCATTCCTCTTCCAGCTATAAATAGGACCTCCCTCACACAAAAACATCATCGAATCCTGGAGGGTTTGCAGTCAGAAAGGAAGAGATCACTTAGTAGTAGTTAGTAACTTAGTTTAATTTTCAGTTGTAAGTATTGTTAACGACAACCCCTCTTCCTTTCTCTGTAAACAACCATCAAGACTTCTCACGAGCAAATACTCATCTTTCTCCATTTTCTGTTTTCTTTTGTAAACTGTCTTTTAAATTAATATAAGTGTTTTTCTCGTCGTTCCAATCGTTATCTCTTGACTGAATCTCGGGTCTATGTGATCTCAGTTGAGAATAATTATGTTTAAACTATCAGCCATGAGCTGAACTATCTGTGGAACGGGTAAACTGTGAAACTCTTAAAGAACTGTTTTCAAAACTCTTGACCGAAGCTTTTTGTATTTCTTTGGCTAAGTAAGCTATATTCATTGTGCGCCAATGGAAATTGGGTACATATTGAGAAAGGAACTTTCATAAGGAAGGGATTTCAGACAGCTTAGCCATTGGGGGAAGGTAGATGTCATGGCAAAAACGCTACTGGTCACCTTAGGAATAAGGGGCCAACTCGTCCATTTTAAGGTTCTGAACTAAGTACCTATTGGAGTCAAGGGAGCCATAGGAATATGGAAACTTGTGAGCCATCTAGACCATGAGCTGAGGAATCAGAGTTGGCAGGCAAAGAAACTGGGACAAAGCCAAAAGGTGCTAAGTCTTGAGCAGAGAAAATAGCCCCTTTAAGAGTGAAGCAGTGAATCCGTTCCTTCTGTTAAACTGTTTTAACCACCACCTTGTTGTCTCTTGATTATAGTTATTTCTGTTTTAGTAATTTTATTTTATTTTGTTTAGTACTTATAAAAACTCCAATGATGTTATCTCACCTTCTTCTAAACAGGAAGGATCACATACATAACGCAGCGAGCAACTGTTTGCCATCAGGTTGAACCTACTGTTCCTGAGGAACGTTGTCAAGACTGTAGGGAACATTTGACCAGACAGTTCATTTACTAACTTTTCTTCTCATTTTCACTCTTTATAAACTGTGATACAACAATAATTAGCACTCTATCCTCGTGGGAACGATAATTTGGGCATTAATACTCCCTTTATTACTTGATGCGTGCACTTGCGCACTTGGTTGGAACTGAGGGACGAATCTGTGTTCTGCAAGAACAGAAGAACGTCCCCTATCAGAACTTATATTTTTCCACCATCAGCAAACCACCCAACAAGTTTTTGGCGCCGTTGCCGGGGATAAAAACACTAACTGTTGTTCTTATCATTGTTTTCTAACACATATACTGTATATCTGCCTTTACTTTTATATTATTTTTTTCTCTTTATCTGCTGTGCATATATATACCTTGTGCTATTGGTTTATGAGTGAAGAGTTTGAAACAGACTCTAACCACTCCATTGAAGTACCTGAGTTTCTTTTTGATCCTGAGCCAGAACGTACACTCCATAGGAGAAGAAGGAACCTTAGGGAAAGATTTCCTAAAAACATGGCTGATCACAATAATAACAATGAAGAGGTTCCCCCTGAACAGAACTTCAAAACTTTGGCTGCTTCTTTCAGGAACAGACTAGATAGGGGAGTAATCCTTCCCCCTGTAGCACCAAATTTTGAACTAAAACCTATCATGTTCCACATGATTAGGGAAGCAGGGGTCTTCAATGGACTCCCTGCAGAAGATCCTTACACACACCTCACAACAGTCCAAGATATTTGTGATAATTTTAAAGTTGAGGGTGTAACAAAGAAGAGCATGAGAATGAGGTTTTTCCCTCACTCATTGGGTTTAGAAGCTAAAACATGGATGAAAACTCTCACCCCTGGATCAATCCACACATGGGAAGAACTCTCTAACAAGTTCATAGAGAGGTTTCTCCCAATGTCTCGATAAGCTGAAGTTAGAGCTGAAATCTCTAACTTCAGAATGTTTCATGGAGAAAATCTCTATGAAGCATGGGAGAGATACAAGGACATCATAAGAAAATGTCCAAACCATGGGGTAGAGAGTTGGGGAATGCTACAATCTTTCTATAAAGGACTTGACCATACTTCTCAATCTCACCTAGATTTTGCTGCAGGAGGATATTTCTTTACAGGAACACTTGAATAAAGATACAAAATCATAGAAGGGACTACTGAAAGATGTCTCCAATGGCCAATAGACAGAGTGAGCCCAGTAAGGAAGCCAGACATGCTAGAACTGGATAAACAAACAGCCATGGAAGCCAGACATGCTGGCATCACTCATGAATGAAGTGAAGAACCTGAAAGCTGACCAAGCAGCACAAAGGATGGAAGTCTTACAACTCACAGCAACTGAAACAGAACCATGCTCAGCCTGTGGTGACCTTCATGACTCAACAGACTGCCCATCCACTGCATTGGTGTGTTATGCAGAAAATTTTGGCAATAGGAACTTCACCAGAGACAATCAACAAGCAGGACGAAATACACATTCAAGCCCTGGAGGAACTATCATTAAGGATCAGAACCACAACACCCAACGGAGGCCACCCATTAACCAGAGACCATTCAACAACAATCAGCAGCAGTATCAGCAAGGTAGCAGCAGTGGAACGTTTGAACAAAGAAGAAACAACTACGTTCCGTTCCACAAAGATGACCAACGCATCAACACCCTGGAAAATTATGTCAAAGAATATGAAACCAGGAATAATGCAGTGGTCAGGAACATTGAGTCCCATCTGGGGCAGATTGCTGCCAACCTTCAACGCATCAACATTGAGTCCCCTCAACCATTTCTGAAACCCCTTGAGAGGTAAGTACCATGTCTAGCTAAAGACATTAAACTAAGCGCTGACTGAGAGGCAACCCAGTAGATACATTTGCTCTCTAACTAAGAGAAAAGTTTTGGGGTGGTTATCTATAACTACATAGCTCCCAAAAAGGAGGGAACATCTGATGTTTCTCTCCAAAAAGTCCAAATAAAGTACGTTCCGTTCCAGGAACGTAGTTTTGCGGTGGTCCCTGACCATACAATCCCAATATAAAAAAAAATATATATATATATATATATATATATATATATATATATATATATATAGATGTACTTATATGTTTTGTTATATGTTCATTAAATAATAGGTGATAGGTTAGTACGTCCCCTTTTCCTTACTTAGTACTCACTATTGCATATCTTCTTATTATTTATTTCAGTTAGTTATTTATTTATTAGTTAGGAAAAGACAAAGGGAACATTCCCTGGGTTAGGAGATAAGAGTGACTGGGACACCTGTCCCTGCTGAGTCACTTAAAAAGGTACGAAGCCATATCCAATTTGCATTCACTGCAATTCTTGGAAACGCGCGCAGAAAAAGCAACCGTCTCCTCAACCATTAAGACAACTGCACCCTTTCCTTTCCCCTCTCTCCCACGTCTCGACCTAAACCGTTCCATCTTCTCAGACTCATCCCATCAGTAACTGATCACCTACTGCTGACCACTCGTTCTGTAACGTCCCCATTCCACTACCTCTTCAACCTCCTCTCCTTAATCTCCACATCCCAGAAACCTTTCATTTTCTCGCCCACAATCTATTTAAACTCGGTCTCTGATTTCTTCAAGTTCTACTACTTCCATTCAACTCAAAACCCTTTTATCCATCCTGCATTTTTGCCCCAACTCCCTTTCTGAACAAAATGACTAAGCTCTCATTTAAAGTGATCCCTGTAGCCAACCGCGGCGAAGAACCAGAGCTCACTGAACCCACCATCATTCTGTACCCAGAAAGGAACATTTCTCTGCATCAGGACAAAGTGGTTCTGCCTCCATTTGTGAAGAAATCACTGGACAAACTTCGGTGGTTGCTTTTCGCCACTGATGACCGTGAGTTGAACTTGAACTGGGTGGGAGAATTCCTATACCAGACGAGAAGGCTTCCCGAAGAGGAGGCACCTGATGTGGTCACAGTGAGGGGAAAACAAGTATCATTTCCCCCGCTGATGTCCAGGAAGTACTCCACCTTCCCACCGTCACCAATTGTCCGTACCAGAAGTACTTGGACGGTAGGGAGGAGTACACTTTTCATAGGAATCTAAAGCAGAAAGTAGCCTTGGACAAACCCAACTACTACAAAGGGTCCCTCTGCAAGGGGAGCATGAAGGACATAGCCAGGTTCTGGGCACTGTTTGCCAACTCCAACATCACCCCCACCTCTCATGAAGCCTCTGCTAGCTGGGGACTTCAAGTTCAAATTTACTGCATCATCAAGCACATCCATTTTGATGCAGTAACCCTCATCTACAACAGCTTGCAGAGGGACATAAGGAAGACTAAGGTCTTCCTCCCCTGCCTCATCACCAAACTCTGCAGGAGAGCTGGTGTAGAGGAACACCCAGATGACACCATGAAGGTGGCATCTATCATTGATGCTAAGACCTGGAACGGTCTTAAAAGCACCTACATTGACACCACCCAACCTATTACTGCCAATCTCAGACGTTCCCCTACCAGAGATAGTGAGGAGGAAACATCTGTGGGCTCACTGAAAAAGACTACCAAGACCACTCCTACAAAATCCTCTTCCTCTGGCCACGTTCCGGCCAGAAGAACCATCCTTCCTCCTACCAAGGTGAAGAAGAATACCCCTGTTGCTACTGATGGCAAGCAGGGCAAGAAGAAATCTCCTGCCAAACCTCCCCTAAGAAAGGGGGAACGTTCGAGTCAGAGGATAAAGAGGGTCCTCAACAGCAATAGGCCAGAGGGAGCATCCTCTGCAAAGCCTATCACCCTCTCTGACCAGGAGAGTGAAGACAATGAGCCTTTGGCAAAAAGGCTGAAGGCTGGCAGAATGTCAGCACCAAAACCAGCTGCAAAGGAGAAATCCCCAAGCAGCTCAAACTCTACATTTTCTGACATTCCATCCCCACCACCTGCTCACTCTCCACTACAACAAATCACCCCACAACCCTCTCCTAGGCAACAACAAGGACAGGGACAGAAAGACAAAGAAGCAGCATCTGCTGCAGAGACATTAGTGGCTGAGCAAGAGGCTCAGCCACAGAAGAAAAATGACAAAGGAAAGTGGATTCTTATAGAACCCCCTAAGAAGAAAGCAAAGACAACAGGCCATAGGCAGATCAATCTGGGGGGGCCTTTGTCATTTCCTGTCATCCGTCCCGATACATCTGGGGACGAAGCTCTTGCCAGAGCTTTGGTAGAAGAAGAAGGGATGGCAATTCCTCCACTGATGGAGGAACAAGCTGTGACCATGCCCTCATCATCCAGACCACCAGTGGATGAACCCAGCACAACACCTATCATACCTCCTGCTACTCGCAATAACCAACAGAAGAAGCAACCTACTTCCTCCCCTACTGCAGCAATCCCCATTGCAGCTAGAAGAAAATCGCAAATTGGGATTGCTGAAATCTTTGAAATGCAGGGAGAGAAGTTAGAAAAACGGCTGCCAGCAAAGAAATCCGTCCCCCAACTTGACATGACAAGCACCAATGCATAGCTGCAGGCTCTAAGGGACGGACTGGCGCAGCTCTCCTCTGCCTTCAACACCTTTCAGGAACAGCAGAAGGAGGAGAGAGAACAACAGCTCAGCACCATAAAAACAGCCATCAAGGAAGCCAGTGCTGCATCCTATAAATCAACACTCCAAGTAGTCCAAGGAGAAATTGCTAAGGCAGCTAACTCCCTAATCCTTTCCAACTCTCTACGCAACCACACAACATAACTCTTACTCAACAGGCTCGTCTCCAAACAAGCTGAAGAACGTAAGGAAACCAAAGAAGCCATCAGGGCCTTTGGAACGTACCTGGAGAGGAGGATTCATGAGTTGGAAATGAGACTGCTGGATGTTGAAAAACAAGTCATCCATTTTCGCACTGGCAGAACCATGATGAGATCCACCATCAACTCCCTGGTCGCAATCATCAGTGATCTACTGAAGGATGCTGAGAAATGGCTCCCTGTAAATGAAGTCCGCAGATTGCAAGATCTGCTCAGGAGGAGACCATTGACACAGGAGGAGATTGATGAAGCCAAGGAAGCTGAAGCTGCAAAAAGGAACCCTTGGGACAGGAGACCTCCATAATGAAAAGGAGAAACCCTCCTATTTATCTTAGCTTAGTTTGTTTTCAATCCTGTTTTTAATTTAGTTTCTTTCCGTTCCCTTGTAGTTGCATTCAAACTTGAATAAACTCACTCAAATATTCTCCCAACAGTTCGTATCTTTTGGAGCTGATTTTGATGACTAAATGACACTCACCAACAGCCAAAATCAGCGCCCCAATCTTCTTGGATCATGTCCAAAAGATCTCCTCTTGATACTAGTGATTTGTTCCAACAAGATCTTATCTTATCCTTTTGTTATGAAACAACTTTTCATAGCCAATTCAGATTTGAATTCAAATATTCAAATTCAAACATTCAAACATTCAAATTCAAACTTTCAAACATTCAAATTCAAAATTCAAATTCAAAATTCAAAATTCAAAATTCAAAATTCAAAATTCAAATTTCAAAATTTGAATTCAAAATTCAAATTTCAAATTTCAGATTTCAAATTTCAAATTTCAAATTTCCAATTCAAAATTCGAATTTCAAAATTCAATTTCAAAATTCAAATTCCAAATTTCAAAATTCAAAATTCAAAATTTAAATGTTTGATAATTAATTTAACCAATTAAATTAATTAGTAGTGTCTTGGACTATCCAAGCCCATTACTGTGATCCATGCGCCCTCCACCCTCAAGGTCGACTTCCAAACTACTTCTTGGACTAATGACCATTATTAGGCCTAATACCTTTAATGCTAGTTCATCTAGACAATTAGGTGTTAGCGTGTGACCCATTATGTCCAACATAGCCACTGACATAAATGGGTTTGGGCCCAATAAGCCCACAACCCATCTAATGACAACAGAGAGCACTAGCAATGCTTTGTTGCCCCAGAACTAATTAGATTAATGACTTGATCATCCTATTACACATATTTGGTTGCTGTATGTATTTCCTTTCGTCTCGGTTACCTTCCCATAAAACCTAGGGTAAGGAAACGTATCAACCCTTGCGGTTTAGGGTAAGCTTTATTCGAAATAGGGAATCTTCAATTTACTGACTCTAAAGGCAGATCATCTCATGATCTCTTTTACTATGCATAGATTCTTGAGTCCCTGTAAATGTCATCCCGATTTCTCCAATTTACAGATAACCTAATCTCTCACAGAGATTTGACGAATTCCTTCAGCTTATCACCCTAGCCCTGTGCTTTTTCAGGACAAGCTCAACAGTATACCTATGGGTCTCCATGTTTCAGGCAGACGAGGTATACAGTCAAAGCATGCCTTCTAGAACACAGTCTAGGCAATAACTTCTGGTCTAAGGAAAGACATACCCAAATATAAAGAGACTACTCTAATGATACTCTCTGTGAGATTTCCTCATAGAGTTTGTTTTGTGTGTCTGTTCAGTGCGAGTTATACCCTTATAGGTCCACCCACGACTTTAGCTAAGACATCTCCATATCTATAGCTCATGAGGTCTTTACCTTGCATCCGAATACAAGTAGATAAGTCGTGCTAGTCTTACCCGAGATCACTGATCCCCATTCTCAGTGTTTCTAGACTAGGAACATAAAATTAGGAATAAACATCCAGTATCCTTGAATCCTCATGATCGTGATCTCATCATAGATACTCAAGAGATACCTATTTTATTCCAAGGGGTTTATCCAGTTACTCATATATAATATTAACAGTAATATCGAGACAAAATATGAAACATGATAAAGAATGCTTTTATTTATTTGCGACAATACAAAGTCCACTTATGTCCTAATCTAATCACAAGATTGTCTCTAGGACATCCATATACTAACACATCTCTCTCTAGCATATAAGTAGCAAACATCATCTTCTAGGGATCTGTACACTGCATCACCCTGAATATCTTGTCCAGGGCTTGAAGCCATCTAGCAGCAACTATGGGGTCATAGGATCCATCAGATGAAAGTGGCCTATGCTTACAAAAAGTATTTAGCCAGCAGTCTATAGTCTTGCGATCCTCTAAGGGCTCAAGGTAAGGCTGCATCAGTCCCGTCAAATGGCTCACACCCTCCATGTGACTCAAACCATCGTGGTCGGGAATATGTGTTCCTCCTCCCCCATCCCCATCATGGTGACTAGGTGGAGATAGAGGTGGTGGCGGAGGAAACTGACCCTCATTGCAGCCAGCCCTCATCTCCTCCAACATGACCCTCATCATAGTCATGTTCGCCAACCGGTTCGCCTCAAGCACGTCTTCGGTTGCTTTTCTGTTCGCCTCTCGCACGGAGTCTATCATCGCCTGATTGGCCTCTCTAGCGGCCTCTTGATCGGCTTGTCTAGCCGCTTATATCTCAGCTAATGCAGTCAGAACAGGATCAGGCTGACCCTCATTCGTCTCCCGGTTCCTCCTAGGAAGCACCATGACTCTACATATATTACACAAAGAATGAGTTGATCAGGCCCACACAATGAGGTCATGCATGCATCATCATAGTAAAACCCAAAAGAAACACAACAGACAGTTCACACAACAAGGCATCCTAAGGTATTGCAATACATACAGGCTTTTTCCCCTGAAAGTGCTCTTATACCATAAAATGTAACACCTCATGTGCACCCGGTGTATTAAACATACATATGGCAGTAGCGCAGCTAAATAAATGCGGAAGCTAACTTTTTCTTTCCAATTATGAACTATTTACTATTAACCAAGTGGATTACTTATTCCTTTTCATAATATCGCATGTATGCAAATTACAATAATGACTAACTGAATAAACTCATAGTATAAATAACTGTGTATCTAGTCACAGAATTACAACATGTAGACCGGACAATATCCTGATATATTATACAACTCAAGTAAACTCAAACATAACAGAAATCAATGTGGCATGGACAACCCGAATGCTCACCAAATCAGGCAACATAACCAAACAATAGCTCAAACCAAATAACAATCTACTGATAGTAAAACAAAATCAACATCCAGGCATATCAGCATAGCAGTATGTATAATCAACTCAACTTCGGCCTCCTACCGCTAGAGGTATCTACCCCCGAGGTACCTGTACCTGAAAATGTTCCCCAACACGGGATGAGATCTCTAAAAAGAAATCTCAGTAAGACAAAGGGTCCTCAAGGATCTCTCCACCCCAAGCTCACTTACATGTGCAATATAAGTTCCAAAACAGCATACAATATAATTTCCAAAACTGTGCAATGCAGCATATATCCATGTCATGTGTGTATGCATCCTACTGGCCAGAGAATTTAAAGGTAGGGATTACATACGTCTACAACCTACAGTACAAGGAACACCGCTTGCACCTCACCTACGAAGTTACCATCTTGTATGTCTCCACATACTCAGGGGTTATCGTCTAGGTGGTACATAACATACATATCATATGGCACTTGCACTCAATAAAATAACTCAATAGCATATCAAGAATCATCATTATTTTTGTAAAAACACATCATGCATATAACCATCCCTCCACGAGGTGTGGTGGAACCAACAATGGGCAAAATTGAGGACACGAAAGCTTACCTCTCAAGCTAACAATCCAAATAACACAATCACAATCTGTTTAGACCAGAAATCTCATCAACATTCGAAATCTAGTAGTTCATTACATTGTGACAATGTTTCCTTTTTAGTTTCATGCCTTTAGGCTTCTCTCAAAGCCATAAGCCTTTAATCTAAGTGATTCTGACTTAGTTAACTTATTATAGAGGTTCATACTAACCACTCAAGGATCCAGAAACCCAATCTACACTTCTGTTTGGACATAATAGTGCCTAACTTGAAATTTCTAGAATATCCGGATATTTCACGGGGGCATATCCAGATATCACAAACCCCATATCCAGATATCAATATCTGGATATTTCGCGACAGAATGTCGTTCTGCATTTTCGTGAAGATATCCCTCAAAGGTTCCATTTTTAACACATTTAAACGTTAAAGCATGCATTTTTAGATCCATTTAGACCAGTGTTCAGGCTAGTTACTTAATCAACTCATTTAACAAGCCAAAACTTAACATTTAACATAGAAAACTCATGAATAAAGGTTATTAATAAAGGTTATGGTCTTGGAGCTTTCCACACCCCTCAACAGTTCAGCTATGATCAGTCCACGAAAATGGTTCTCAAGTTTGGCCCTTTATTCACAAAGCTCACTACTTGGAGCTTCAACAACTCATGAAATGGTTCCTACACCACTCAAACTCAAAGGCAGTCCCCCTTACCCCACACACAGCAAGTACAACTCCGAAGATGGCACCTTTCTCCCACACCAAGCACACAACCAAGTGTCTACAATGTTTAGGTGAAAGAATCAAAGAGAAATGGTGGATTTTGGTGGAGTTTCATGAAGGGAAGAAGGGTGGCAAGTTGGAGAGCACAAAACTTCAGAAGGAGGCACGTAGGAATGTATATTTCTGACCTAGAAATC